CCCCTGCGCCCCCCCCCCCCCCCAGCCGAGGCCCGCAGGGTGCGGGGCGGGGATGGCCCCGGATTGGGGCTGCCTGCGCCGGCCCGGCTCCCTCCCGCTTTTTCTTTCCCTTTCTCCTTCGCTCGGGGTTTTTTTTTCTTCCTTTTTTAGCGCCAAACCGCCGTGCCGCGAAATTCGGATTTCCCGCGGAAAACGCCGCGCGCTGATTGGCCGCCCGCAGGGTTCGCTACAGAATGGTTACACCGCGTTCTGTTCTTAAAGGGGCCGCGTCGGTGCGCCTCGGAAACTGGGGGGATGCGGATTGGAGGCGGGGGTTACAATCCGGATTGCAAGGGGGTATTTTTTGGGGGGGGGAGATGTCCCCCCTTTGGGAAGGGAGAAGGTACAGCATCACCTGCCTTAGGGCTGCAGGGGGTGTTGCTCTGCACCCCATGTCACAGCACCATAGAAAATGGGGGTCACATCTAGTCCAACCCCCTGCTCCAAGCAGGACCAGCCCCAACTCCATCATCCCAGCCTAAGCTTTGTCCATCTGGGTCTTAAAAACCTCCAAGGATGGAGATGCCTCCACCTCTCTAGCAGTGTTTTGCAAGAATATATGAAAGAATAGGCGAAAGGGTCACAAGAATACGTGAAAGGGGTGCAAACAAACTTTAAAAATGAAGAAAAACGGGGGAAACTGTGGCTTTTCCCTTGCAGGCTGTCAGTGTTCCCACTTGCAAGGGGCTGCTTGGAGCACACCTCCTGCCCCATACACCCGCCCACTGCTGCACGCACTGGGGCTGGGGCCCAGAGGTGGAGGGCAGTGGGTTGGGATTGCGGGGCGCTGGGTTGGGACTGGCCATCGATGCTTGCAAATGGGTTCTGGTATAAAAGAGGTTGAGAACCACTGCTCTAGGTCCCATGTAGTCCAAGCAGGACCAGCCCCAACTACATCATCCCAGTCAAGGCTTTGTCTAGGGTGTCTTGAACACCTCCAGGGATGGAGAGTCCCCCACCTCCATGGGTGACCCGTTCCAGTGCTTCCCCACCCTCCCAGTGAGGAAGTTTTTCCTAATATCCAACCTAACCCCCCCTTGCTGCAACTTGATTGCTGGAAGAATGTGACACACGAGTTGTTCAGGGAGGATTCACTTTTATTGCACCTGCTGACGGGCAGGGCAGCATCTCCTGGCTGCCTAGGGCAGCAGCTGCGGCCAAAGAGCTTCGCCCGCCAACCTTTGCTCCCTTCTGTTCTGGGAAAACTAGCTCAGGGTGCCCAGCTCCACCCTAGGGCCCTTCCTAGGCATGTGCCCGCTGTGAGGTTTGCACAGAGCTCAAGCTCTTGCTTCTCAAACCTTTCCATCCTGAGGCTCCTTTTCCTATAACATCCCTATCCAGTCTGCACACCTTGTACAGCTCCTGCATCAAGGGAGCCCCTCATCCTCACCACGGCTTCAAGGTACCCCCATAGCATAGGGAATAACAGCCAGGGCTTCCCTCCTTTCTGGCCCCCTGGGTACCCAGCAAAACAAGAGCCCAAGACCCCTTTACTAGCCCAGAAGTGAGGCGCATTGGCTCAGGCAATTGGTCTCCTTGACCTATAAACTGGCCGTGTAGATGGAAATGGCCCTGAGCTTTACTGCTGTAAAATTCCCCCTCACCCCATGCGACGCAGGGCAGATCCCACCTTACTTGTTTCCTGGCTCATTGAATCTTAGTGAGGGAAGGGGCTTTTGGGAATTATTTCAGACGTTCCGATGGGATTTTAAAGGTGGTTTCAGCGTCGGGGAGACGCGTAGCCTTGGCAACATGTGTTTGCCCGTCCTTTGTTCTTTGCTGTACAGTGGCACCAGGAGATTAAGCGAGCTGTCGAGCTGGAGAGGGGGCCGAGACAGGCTGGGAAAACAGTACCTGCCCCCAAAAGCTTGCAAAGACACCAGACAGAGCCTAGGACCACATGGCAGGACATCTCTCTCCAAACTGATGATAAGCCCCTGACATGAAGGAATAGACTCACCTATTAGGTGACAGAGGTGCTTACATGCAAGCCCATTCCAGCCTGCTCAAAGTCCCTGAAAAGTGATGAGTACGTCTACTTTCTTAGGAAGGGGTGTATTTGGTAGCCGTGTTGGTCTGATTTTTGCATTTCTACTTTTTTAATACGCCATCACCTTTGCCTTACGGCCCAGTCACAAGGAGCAGGGAGGGGAAACAACTCACTTGTCTTTTGCATTAGTGGTTTCTCGGGGTGGAACAAGATCACTTGTACCTGCCTACGCCCACACCAGCGTCCAACGGGAGCAGGACCTGGCCTGAAACTACTGACTTGTACGAGCAAACTTACTATGCCAGCCAAGCCAGGGCTCCCTACCCAGACGGCAGCTCTGGAAAAGCAGTGGCTGAGGCCCCTTCTCATGTGAACATCACTGCTGCCCTCTCCTGGAAACGATTTCATCCAGAACGCAAAAAAAGTCAGCGCCTGGGTGAAATCATCTCTCCCACCGACTGGGGGAGAAGACATTGCAAATCCCGCTGTCTTCAGCTGTCCTAAATCCTCGAGACAAAGCAAGCCAGCTCCTGCTGACATCAGGAGATAGGAACGCCCGGCTGCTTTGAAATCAGGTTTCTGCTCCAGGGCTCGTTGCAAGACATCCGGGTTTAGACAGCGTGGCTGTACGCTGGTGTAGCCAACAAAGCACCTCTTGAATTCAAAGAGAAGAGGTTTGTATTCTCCTTCCCAAGCCGGGCCATTTATCAGGCCTGATGCCTGGGAGGGTTAAATCAGCTCACATTTGCACAAGCAGCCAAGGTTCACCTCCGAGGAGACAACACAGCCCAGTTTTCACAGCAGTCCCCTTATCTCACATTTTGAATTGTAGACTCTGTGAGGACATGCTCTTACTTTGGACATGTGCAGAGGGGTCCCGATTTCAATGGAGGCACCCAATAGCTGGAATAGCATCTCAACAGGGTTGTCTTTTGAGCTAGAAAGGATGGAGCCAAGTACTGGGCCCAGCAGCGAGGTCCGGGATTGCTCCTCCTCTGCTATCAGCTACCAGCACGTCCTGGGACAGGCAACAAAGTCAACCCCTACATTTCAATGCAGGTTGACCCAGTACCCAGCAGCCCCAGCCAGGCAACAGGTCACCCCCTGCATTTCTATGTTGTCTAGGCAGGACATTTTTGCAAGTTCTTCCTGGGCACCAGGTCAATCCAGGTGGGTGGAGGGTGGAGAACGGTCATACCCTCCTTGCACGAGTGTTGCTCTGCCTGCCTGCCCCATGCTTGCTGCCCTCCCTGACCCCTAAGTCCTGTTTCTGGCCCTAAGTCAACCTGGGGGGAGGGGGTTGACCCTTGGCCCTCCTCCAAGCTCATTCAATCTCTGCAAAGCAGGCCAGTAGCTCATTTTGCTTCATCTCACTGAGCAGAGCACCCCCAGGCTCCAGGCCCATTGGTGTGAGCGGAAGAGTCTCAGTACTTTATAGTATCTGTTGCAAGTGAGCCTCGTTTGTCCTATTCTCCCCACCCCACGCTGGGGCTCAGGTTTGGCTTTCGACTCCTACACCAAACCAGGTGAAATACAAACATCCAAGCCATCCAGGCACAGTCCCATGCTCTTTATTACCATTGATCTAAGATCAGCTCAATCATCACTGTCATTTCACACAAGATACGTATTTCTTGACGAGTCTTACTCTCCAATACACCCTACCAGCACCTCACCTGACACTGTTCATTGTAAAGCATGCCTACATGATTGCTCTAGCTGTGCCTGCCCCCGCAGTCACAGGATCGGATGTACTCTGGCAGGGCTGCTGGCTCTTAGGCTGGGCAGAAATGCAGGTGTGGGATAGAGCATCTCCCAGCTCAGGAAGGCGAAGGTCAAGCGTGCCTTCCAGAGGACATGCCGGCACCTCCCAGGGTTGTGTCGCACCCTGGTGCATGCTGTTGAGGCAGGGAACAGGATCTAGAACTTGCCAACAGCTATTAACACAGGGACATAACTTCACTGGCACTTTCCCCCTTGCACAGGGAGGGGGCTGCGCAAACTCTTCCTGGACGTCCCTGTTGCTGCCAGCGGAGTCTCAAGACGGTATCAGCCAGGACATCGCGATGGACGTGTCGCCTGCTCCAGCACAACACTCCCCAGACCGAGAGGCCGCCCCCACTCCTGCTACCAAAGCAAGCCCCTCTTCCAGGTAGAAGCAGGGATTCCCAAGATTTCATCTGGAACCCACCTGCTTTTATGCCTAGGAGGGCTCCGTTTCTACCTGCACACATGCAAGCTCTCCAGCAGCCAGACATACGGGAAAGAAGGGTGCGAGCTGGTGGCTGACTGCAAGGCATCCTCTGGAAAGGGGCACCTCTCTCCTCCCCCAAACAGAGCTTTGGAGGTGCAAGCCATGGGGAGCTCCCTCCACGAGACAGCCTGCACCACATCAGAGCCACCCGAATGGGCCTGACAAGCGGGACAGAGCTAGCATCAGGCCCAGCCTCCTGCTTCTCCTGGGTCTGTCCCTGGGAAAGTCCGTATCTCCCTGTACCTACACCATGCAGCTCAGCCCTGCTACCCACATCCACACTTCACTGTCCCAGAGGCAGCCACGCCACCTTGTCAGAGCCCATCCATCGCCCCGGGGAAGTCGGAAAATCCAGGGGAGATTCATGCGAGCAGCTCTGCAGTTCTTCTCCAGCCTGGCTACGGTAGTGGTGGCGACTGATGACGTGCCTTCAGGAAGGCCTTCTTCACGGACCCTACGTGATGTCTTGATCCTATACCATGCTCCGAGTCAATCATCTTGGCCTAGGACAGGGATACAGGAGGAGGGTGAGGATCTGGACACCACTCGGCCTTTCCATGTGCAGTCCCTTCCCTGCCTCCAAAGGCTTTTACATCTCCTCCCCCTAGACATCGCTACTCCCGCTACCAGTTTGATGTGGGCAGTGCCAGGAAAGCACACAGTGACGGGCAGCAGCACACTGCTCCGGGGAGGAACGAACTTGCAAATTCAGCAACTGCCTCTGGAGCTGGCCTGGAGCCCAAACAGATGCTGCCTACACACGGGCATGCACTTTTTACAAGTCTTTCACGTCCCCACATGTAAAACGAGGATAACTATGCCCACCTCAGCTGGGAGGCACTGGCAGTTCTTCTGTGGGAAGTGAGATCAAGGATCTAGATATTACTAATCAGCTCTGCACTGCTGGTCGCTGTCTACCGCTGGCTCAGCCCCATGCCACCCTGGAGAGCCTCCCCTAAGGAGATCCGTGGTCCCCGTGTCAGTGCCTAAGTACATTACTATAGTGTGCGATCCACATCTAAGGCTGGGGTAAATCAGTGTTGTTCTCTTGACTTCAGCTGTCTGCACCTAGGCTTCAGTGAAGCAATGCTGGTTTCCCCCAGGGGAGGGATTGGCCCATTCACTTAAATGGACCAATATCGACAGACACCAGCTCAAAGTGAACGCTTGGCCCCTTGTCTTCAGTGAATGGGGACGCAGCCCGACATGGAAGGGTCTCCAGGCAGGACCATACCCTATCCAGAGTGATGAGCGTGGACAAGATATCCCCAGTCCGCCCAGAAACCAACTCGTTGCCAAGCAGATCATCCGAGAGGTTTGCATTCTGGATGTTTCGTAGCACCATCTCGTGCTCCTGCTCTTGGTTGAATCTGAGGGACCTCATTTCCTGGACTATTCTGGGGTGGGGGGCAAGACAGAAAGAAGCAGCGATGAGATTAAATCACCAAATCCATCCATCCATCCACCCCTAGATATTCTTCCAGAGCCCCAAAGCCACAAACATTTTTCATCCAAGATTTCCATTCCCAAATCTCCTCTCTAGGGCTCCCACCACAAGAGGCCCTTGTCTTCTGCTCTCCCATCCCTTTCATCAGTAGGACGTGGAAGTTTAAGATCACTGCCTCACATTTTCTTTGCTCAGGAAATTGCCCATGACATTCCCCAAATTGCCTTTCTGGGACCCTAAAACAGTAGGTTCCAGACATTAAACCACTGCAGAGATGACCCCAAACCCAATGGAAGCCATGGAGAAGTCTTTCCATTGGGATTTTGATCCGGTAGTCTCATGCCAAACTCTATCCCCCAGGCTAGAGGCTGAGGCATCACCTCTTTCATATCATTGCCCCCTAAGAGCTGTCATCTAAGTAGTTGTGCTCCAGGGGCACCAGACCTACAAGTCTTCCCCATCAAGCATCAGCAGAGGTTATATCGTTCAGTTCTGTTCACTCAACCTCTTCTTGCCCCCAGCTATGCCTGCTCTAAACAACATGCAACCAGCCCAGTCTTCGCATATAGGCAGATGACCGAGTTGCTGAGGGATAAAAGCAGGGGAGGCATTATGGCAATGGTCCTTTGTGCCCACGGTATGCGAGAACTGAACCACAGGAGTTCGGCCCTCAGTGAAAGAGGGCAGCGGGCGGTTACCAATGATGACGGCAAAACCCCGCCTCGTTTTACCTTGCAGGAAATTGTTCACCACGAGTCTTTAACCATCACTGAATATCCCCCGCCCCCAGTTTTCCCTTCCAGGGCCAAGGTCACGAGCCTCACCCATTATCAATCAACCCTCTTCATTGTGTTTCAAAGTCAAGATCATCCATCAACAAATTCTTCTTCTGCTACTGAGCCCAAGATGTGGTACTTCCACGGGTGTCATTAATACCCAAGGGCACATCAAATGGAGATGCAGAAATCTCACCCAACAAGTCAAAAGATCATGGGCTCAAACCCTCCACAGCCTCCAGGCAAAATCTCTCTCTCGAGTGGGGATGTGCCTACACATAGTTGAGGGCTCATCTTGCTTTGGTGAATAGCTGTGCCGCTCCCACCCATCCCAAGGACTACGGGCCTCCCAAAGCCAGCCGAAGGGAGGGTGGAGGGGGTGGATGGACCTACACATCCAGCTCATCCCGGATCTCTTTGTACTGTTTCAGGTTCTCCTGGATGGCTTCGAGGACAAGGGAGAAATCATCACAGGTGGCTTCAGTCAGGTTAGCCAAGTTGCCATGGGTCCACGGCTCCTGGTTCTGCATCACGACAGGATCCTTCATGGCCACTCTCATATGCACTAGGTTCACCTCTGGGGACACGTCGTCGTCCCCTCCATTTGCCTGCAGGGTTAGCAAAGCACTGCTCTTCAGCAGCTCGTTGTCTCAAGGGAGCCGTCGTTTTGACCCCCCCACCGTGGGCTCGGCTGCTTGGAGGACTTAGCCCCCGCTGGAGCCCAGCACCCACCTCCAAGCTCGAGTCCATGGCCAGGTTGAGGCCTCTGGCTTTCTTCTTGGTGTAGGCCTCCAGCATCTGCTCCAGGTTCGAAGACACAACAGCCACCAGCAGGTTGGTGCAGATGAAGGCTCCACCCGTGAGGAAGATGAAGAAGTAGACGGTGCCCCCAACTTTCAAGGTCAGCCCTGCGCTCCTGCGGGCATAGGAGGGAGCAGGTCACCAGGGTCCCTGGCAGCACCGTCCACCGCAGCATCCACAGAGGGACCCGCGGGGGCAGATCTCCCTGCCTCAAACCCAAGGAGGAGGAGAGGCAGTCATCCCACCCACATCCTAAATACAGGGCACAGCTCCCATGCCCCTCGGACCACCAAGCTGGAAGGAAAAGCAGCTCTGTCCCCACCGAGCTGGGGTTGGACCTTCCACCCATGGGCAAGCAAGTCATTCTCGTCCCCATCCTCTGGACCCTAGCACTCGGGACCCTCTCTGTTTGACTTGGAGTGCCGCGATCTAACTGCACCGACTTCCCAGGACTCGCGGGAGTCAGCAGATATGACGCTGCCCGAAGCAGGATCTGAACCCCAGACCCTCAGCTAAGAAGGCCCAAGCTCCAGGAGTGCTACTGGGGCCCTTGACCCCCTCGGGGGGAGCGACCCCAGGCCCACACACACCTAGCAGGGATTACCTTTGCTGTGGTGTCACTTGCTGGTGTACGCGTGTGCGCAACATGCACAGCCATTTGCACGTGAGTGCCACTGTCTGTTCCAGGGATCGGGGGGCAAAAAAGGGGGCAGGTCCACTCACTTGAAGTCCTCATAGATGTTCATCCACCCGTCCTGCGTGAGGCAGATGAAGAGGGAGTACAAGGCCTTCCCCAGGTTCCCGAAGTGCTCTGGGACCAGGTTGCCAAACAGTGTCACCCCAAACACCGAGAAGACCTGCAGAGAGACAGCCCCAGCCATAAGCCCGCCCCAGCCTGTGACACCCCTCCTCTCCAAACATCCCAGAAGAGGAGGGCTCAAGAGACAGGCAAGATGCTCTCCATACCAGGCATCATCTTAAACTCTGGGGCATCCCCCACCCATGGAGATCCTCCTCCAATGCCCAGATAAGCCCACAGGCAACCCTACGTGGTCCCTGCAGAGACTACCCCCCAGGCTCAGATGAAGGCTCTGTGATGCCATTTCCAACTGGGATAGCTTCACCTCTGCTTGAGCCTCTTGGCCTCGCAGGGAGGCCCCAGGCCTCACAGCCAACAAAAGGGAAGGAGAAGCAGGGGAGGAAAGACATGGCACAACACATGGCTTGGGCCCAGCGCACTCAGGAACTGCTTGCAATGCAGCTGGGGCAGCGCAGCGCTTGCATAGGCTGCACCCCGACCCCGCAAGAAGCTATTTGGTCAGTGCCTGTGCTACGGTGCCTGACAGCAGCTTCTCAGGGCCAGCTCAGGGATGTCTACGGTAGTCATCAGCCGCGGCAGGCACACACGTGGAGAGTACAAGCGCCCATATAAGAGAGGAGGGGAAGAGCACAGGGACTGTGAGAGAGGACGGAGGAAGGAGAAACCCAGCCACCCAGTGCACTCACTCACCAGCATGATGACAAAGAGCAGGACCATGATGTTGAACATGTCTGGGATGGAGCGCAGGATCACTCGGATCATCCGGGCCAGGCCTTTGACCAACGTGCAGACATGCACCAGCCTCACCACCCTGGGAGGGGCAGAGGGACGCATCACACAGACAGGGAGGGATGCACGGGCAGCCTGGGGGTGCTGGGTCCTGGATGACCCTGATGGATGCCTGGGCTCGTGGGTGAGAGGGGCTCCTTGCTTTCTCCCCCCGGTCACCCTGACAACCACGGCAGGGTTTAAAAGTGATGCTAAGAGCTTGGGGCAAGAAGCAGAGGAAAAGCCAGAGAAGCGAGCGAAGGGCTGGACAACACCTCCCAGCCAGAGGCTCAACTAACACCGCTCCCCTGCTTTCAAAGAACAAGGAGAGGAAAGGAGATTCAGGAACCTGCACAGGGAGAAGGCACTGGCGGGGTCTTTCATGTGCCCGGCGGCTGCAGCCGCCTAGACACAAGGCATGGATTCATAGCAGGGAGGACAATTTGCCATTGGGGCAAAAACACTGGGGGTTGGGGGGCTCTCTGGATGGCTTCATATCTAGACTCAGTGCTTTTCTGGAAAGGATGCCAGAGGCAAATGCAAGTTCTTGGATTCAGTACTGGGTTAACTGGGTGCAACCTAATAGTCTGGGCTGCTCAGGTTGGGTGGGAGGGTGGCTTCAAACTCAAAAGCAGCTACAGATCCAGCCGGTGGCTCCGGTGGGATACGGACCAAGCAATGGGATATGGACCCAGCCCCGCGGAGGTTTGATAAAGGCCCAAAGATAAAGGACCTATTTCCCTACCGGAGAATTTTAAAGACCTTTTGGTCGTTCAGCAGAGGGATAGCTGGCCCCACGACGAGATACAGCATGATGAGGAAGTCAACGATGTTCCAGCCATCCTGCAAGGAAATGAGCCCCGTTATGGAGCAGCACTCGACAGGCTTCAAACCTGGATCTGGTCCGGGAGCACGGTCAGGCGCCTAGCCCCGGACACCCTCGTCCGACAGGCCCTCCCGGTGCGGCCGTGATACAAATCATAACCACCATCGTGTGAGAGGTGTCTCAGTCAAGACCAACGACGGCCAGGGCCAAACCCCCGGCTGCACAGCTCTCCAGGGAAATCAGTGCAATGCCACGTCTGACCCCAGCTGTGGATCCAGTCCAGAAACTGAAAAGTCAAAGGTGTTTTTTGGCCACTTTGCCCCGAAGCAGCAGAGAGCACAGACCTGGTGTCAGCACGCCTAGGCTCTAGTCCCACCTCGCCCACAGATGAGCTGTGTGAGATGGCATAAGGTTCCTCTTCCCTCTGGGCCTCAGTTTCCCCAGCAAGTGAGATGGGTTTAGTGATGCCGGCGTGCCTTGATGGAGCGCTCTGAGGTCTGTGGCTAAAGGTTTCCCAGCAGGCTCTCCCTCACGCAGTCATTGGCATCCAGGAGACATGGATGTAAACCCTGCTTAATTGTGGTGTTTGCACAGACGCGGTTGACTCTACGGTGCAGGGCAATCAGGCCCCGGCTAAATGAATCCCTAGCTTTGGATTAGCTCATTTTGAATCAAGTCAAGGCCTGCCCATCACGGCCCAGCAAGACTGATGCACGCCTGTTTCTGCAACCGGACCGGGAGCGATGGGGCTAGTAACAGCGGACTGCCTTTGATTCTCCAGCCCGAAGGGCAGGGGCCATTGCCAGCTGGATCAATGTGGGGGGGCATCCTTTGGACCGAGTCAAAGTCTGCAGGGGACACAGCCCCTAGCACCTCGAAAAGCAGATTTTAGAAACTCCCCATCCCAGAAGCCCTTGGCAATGCCCAAGGATTTCATGAACAGTTCCTGTCTGTAGAGAACTGTGACCACAGAAGAAAAATCACAGATTAGGGCTGGAAGGGACCTCAGGAGGGCACATCTAGTCCAACCCCTGCTCCAAGCAGGACCAGCCCTAGCTACATCACCCCAGTAAAGGCTTTGTCTACCTGGGCCTTCAAAACCTCCAAGGATGGAGACTGCACCACCTCTTTTGGTAACTTGTTCCAGTGCTTCACCGCCCTCCTAGCGAGAGAGTTTTTTCCTAATATCCAACCGAAACCTCCCTAATGTTCACCCAGCATGAGTCATTTAACCCCTTAGATGGCAAAATTTGCACAGACTCCTAGCAAAGGGCCAGGCCCTCGCTCTGCTTTCATTCGATTGCAGAGCATCTAAAATAAAAGTCATAAATTGTGCTTAGATGAGGCTGGACATCCAAGCCATGCAATCTCCCCTGCATGTAGGCCACAGGAAACAGGCTGAGATAGGGAAACGGAGTCACAGAGAGGATGAGGACGGGGTCCAGTGGGGTGGAGGCGATAAGCAGCAACAGCAATGAGCCCGGGGAATTTCAAACCTAGACCGCTGTGTCGAGTTCTCACCTTCCAGTACACCCAAAATCCTTTGTACCAGTTGAGCAGAACCTCGGTGATAAGGACAGTCAGGACAATGTTATCTATGGCAGAGAACAACCCAAAGTAGTTCTACAATAAAGAATAGAAGAAAAGAACTAGAAAGTCTCCCGAGGGGACACGGCTCGCGTCCTGCGATCGTCGGGTCTGCGTCCCCCTGGGACCTTAACAGCAAATCTGTCCTGCCTCGCAGCATGGGGGGCGATGGCCTTATTCCGCTCTGGAGCATGCACAAGCCCTGCTGAGATGTGCTTGCACCCAATTCAAAATGCTTTGCTGACCCCAGGCTTAAAAGAGGAATAGAGGCTGAAAGGAGAAAAGAGAATAGGGAGCAAAAAGGTGCACTGGAGAAAGAGTGATTTGCTGTACTTTTCAGAAACAATGCCGAAGGGGAGACAAAACCTGGGTGGGAATGGGTGAAGGAGAGGAGGTGAATCGGAATAGAAAAGAAACTGCAGGTAAACCAGCGGGGCGGTGCATTGCTCTACGAAAAAAAAAAAAAATTAGGGGTTTTTTTTTGGAAGGTGCCCGAATGACAAAAATGCGGTGACCAGGAAACAGCCACACGACCCCCTGGACGCTACACAGCCACAGCCCCCCTGGTCAGACTACATATCCCATGATGCACCCCCCCTTCTGCTTGAGGGCAGTGCATCATGGGAGTAGGGCTTCTTTATGTCCTATACAAATGGGAGGTATTTAGCTGGGGCTGTCGCATGCTCCAAGCTTCGGTTTGCCCAGCCACGAGGAACGGCACGTGGAAACTCCCCGGGCACCGTCCTCGCTGGGGCAGATCTTTCCCTCCATCACCCCAATGCAGCTGAAGCCCAAACGAGCCCATCCTCAGAGAGGCGGGGGGCGGAGGGGAGGTTTTTTACCTGCACAGCTAAGGGCACGGACGAGCACGAGGCTCAAGGAGAGGAGGTGACTTACCGCCTGATGGGCGGAAAGGGGTACCCGTGTCCCCACCGCCCCGTGGGAAGCGAGAGCTAAGCCAGGACAGCTTCCCCGAGGACCAGGGCTTTGCTTCCACTTGGCACGGGGTGGAGAGGGCTCCGCTCTGCCTTCGCCCGCATCCGACCCAGCCGACATACCTGCTGGATCTTGGGGTCGGTCTGGCTGGCGATGGTGAGGACGTTGCTCACGATGAGCCCGGCCAGCATCAGCTTGAAGGCCCAGTGGTTCAGGAATTGGCCCGTGCACACCTTGGAGACGTACTCCTCCATGTCCCCGTCATCCTGGGGGGGAGACCCGAGAGCTGCAGCGGGGCCGGAGGGGAGCGGGGCAGGGCACCCCCCAACGCACCCCAGCGGGCAGCCAGGATGCTCCGGCGTGAGCACCACCCTGCCCGCCAGCTGCCGCGGGTGCAGCACACAGGAGGCAGCGTGCTGCAGTGGTTACAGCAGAGTGCTCCACAGCACCAACTTGATAGAGAACCTCAGGCCTCCATGCCTCAGTCTGTCTGCCTGCGAAATGGGTGCAGACCCATCCCAAGAGTGCAGCTGGCTGGGAAACGGGGGCTTGTCAAAGCCATGTACCACAGGGACCACCAAGGTGAGGGCTCCCCCCCAGAGCCTGTGGAGGTTCCCACGGGGTCGGCCTACCTGGGTGCACACGATGTCTCGCCAGTTGATCATCATCTCTGCTTTCTTCACCTTCCTCCCCTTGGGCAGCTGGGAGTCCGGCTGCTGCGTGGGGGAGACACACGGTCACGCCAGCCCCGCACCCTTCCCCTGGCTCGCAGCCCACGCCTGCCGCCCTGCCCATCCCCTGGCCTGCGCTCCCGGGGTAACCTCCTCCATTCCTCCGATGCCCCCCATCCCTCACCAGGGTGGTCCCCAGCAGGGTAGACATCTCCGCTCCGCTGCGGCGCCCCGGCTTCCTGGCGCCAGGCCGGCTGCCCGCATTGTGACATCACTGTTCTAACCCCAGAGAAGCCTCTTCCTCGCTCACGTCATCACTGTGCCGCTCGCCGTGAGGTCACCGCTCCCTGCCCCGGTCAGGGAGCAGCAGACAGGCCCAAGTCTGGGGTCACCCCACCGAGAGACATCCCCGTGCTGCTCTCCGCGGGGCCTGCGGCACACACCAGCGGGGCTGGCACACGGAGGAAGGTGCAATAACCCCTCCTAGTGTTGTTTCCAGCCCAGCCCTTGGGGTGGGCACGGCTGTACCCGCATGAAGGCATCTTGCACCAGGTCAGCGCCCCGCATGCGCACCACCAGCCCAGCATCGGGCTCTTTTATCCTGGGACTGACTGAACTGGCCTCCAAGCTGCAGAAGTCCAAGCACAGAGGAGCCTGGAGAGCCGCAGGCGTGAGACCCACCCCGGGTGGTCAGGACCAGCCAGAAGTGTCCATGCTTCAGCGTGTATTTGTGCCAAGCGTGAACTTGCGGGTCTGATGCAGGCCACGCCAAGGACCCAGCCCCAGGAAGGAGTGAAGCCCTGCTATCCCTATGCACAGGGGGGAAACCGAGGCACGGGGTGGCCACAGTCCAAAGTGTTTCAGCACCGCACACCCAGAGGAAAATTTTGAGCTTCTCTGCACAGCCAGCCCTAAGGGACCTGCCCAAGGCCACCCAGGAAGTCTGTGGCAGAGAAAGGCCTTGACCCCAGTGCTCTAACCACTGCGCCACCTGCCCTTCACACCACTTAGGCCTGCTGTCCCTCCCAAGGGGTCTTTCTCCCCAGGGCCCTGCTCCCAGCAAGGATCGCGCGGGCTGCATCAGTGCTGTAGTGGCTCCGCAGCCCAGCAGAGAGCAGCACGAATCAGCGATGCCTGCAGACCTGCACTCCCCTTCCCAGGGCTTCACAGCCAGGGCCCTAGGGGAGCGGGCAGGCAGGGGACGGGGGAGGCTTCGAGCCCCCTCAGGACAGGGCCTCATCCTGACCACGCAGCGGGTGCAAAAGAAGAGATGGCCCACTAAACCCCCCTGCCTCTAGTGCGTTCCTAGCCCACCACAGCCGCATTGCTCCGGCACCACCGCGGACTGGTCTTGTCCTACCTGATCTGCTGGATGTAAAACACAGGCAGGAGAGAAACCTCAGCGTGGGCTCGTTTCATCCATCACAACAGCACAAACAAGGGCTCCAAGCCAGCCCCCTGCCACGGGCAGGGACTGTCCTGTAGTTACAGCAGCAGCCTTGGACTCAGGAGAAACATGCCTCTGCCACTGATCCCCTGCATGCTCTTGGTCAAGTCACCTCACCTCCCCACACCTCCACTCCCTACCTGCCAAAAGGCTCTGCTATCTGCCATGTCCTGTTTGGATATGAAACCTAGAGCGAGCGAGAGAGAGACCAAACTCCCAGCTTGGCTCCGAGTCTCCAAGATGCCACGGGGGGGCAGCATCGGAGCACATGAGGCTGCCCACCGCGTGAACCGGTCCCGCTGGGCAGAGAGGGGCCTGGTTCATCCAGTTTCCCACAGCCGGCTGGAGAGGGTGAAGCATTCCCAGTTGGCATGTAGCCTGATCCTGAGCAGCGAGGGTGCAGAGAGGGGCTGGGGTACACGGGGGTCACTGGGTTCGACACGATCTTGCTGGAGGCCCAGATGTCCGGGGCTGCCTCTGGAAATCAGTGCTGGAGACCGGCCCCTGCTCAACCCTGGAGGGTGTTGCTGGGACGCCTGGGCTCTGTGGGAAGCTGGCATCCTCTGACCCCCAGCTGCCTCCATTCACCTGCATTGGCACAGAGGAAGGAAGGGGCGAGGGGAGGTTCTTCTCCGATCCTTTTGGCCATGCCCGGGACCCTGACCCTAACCCTAACTCTAACCCCTCAGCGGTGGCAGCAGCTACCCACGGGGGGCTGGCTCCATTGCCCAGCGCCCTGGGCCACAGGCTCCACGTCTCAGCCCCAAGCGGAGGTTTAGCAGACGCGGCTCGAACCCTGGTAAATACCAGCAGACCGTTGGCTCGAGGCGCGCGTGCCCCGGTGCAGCTGGGACTCTGCCCAGGCCTATAATTATAGCTAATTCCTCTCCTGCCGTGGCTGTGTTAACGAGACCCACAGCTGCATACTGAAGGGGCAATTAATTGTCGTGCCCACGTAACCGTGGTTACGGGATTGATACAGGCAGCAGCTCTGGGGGGGGGGGGGGGGGGGGGGGGCTGTGTCTAGTGATGCTATAACGTCCCTCCGGGTGCGCGGGGGACTGGGAGGAGACCCCAGGATCCCTGGGCTGGCAACAGGGGGAGAGGGCCCTGCTCAGACCTGGGTGCCAGGCAGCTGGGAGGCTCCAAAGCTGTGCCCCACAGATACCAGCTGGAGCCCTGCACCCAGCAAGAGCCCCTGGGGCAGCAGACACAGCACCCACAGCCCAGCTGCATACTGCCCTTGGTGCTAGGCCCGGTCTGGGTCCAACCCAGAGCCGCCAGCCCCAGTGCCTGCAGTCCCCACTGCCTGAAGCCCATACCCGCTGGGGTTACCGGGCTTCCAGCTCCTCTCCAGCGCTGGACCCCTGCTCACTGGGGCAGGGACCGGTGCTATCCTGCAGCAACATCCGGGGGTAGCAGCCAGGAGAGGCAGGTGCTGGATGCTCGAGGCATGACATGCACCAAAGGGAGATGGGGGGCGGTCCAGCGGTATTCGGGGGGAGTAGCGGAGACAGCACTAGCGGGACTAACACAGGCTGCCCCCACGTCTCATGGAGCACGGGGACAGCCAGCATCTCCCTGGCACAGCTATTATGGGGGCTCAGGGTATGGGAGGGTGGTAGCAGAGCTCAGTGGCTTGGGCAGGTGTAGTGGGGGTCAAGCCAGGTCCTAACCCCAACCCCTGTTGTCACAGCGGGGTTGGCACCGGCTGCCCCAGGAGGCTTTCCCATCTCCAGCACTGCCCAAGGCCCGGGGGAATCTCGCACCAGCCACCCACGCAGCGCACCTGGCCCGTTGTGCAATGCCAGCCACGCTGGGCGGGGGGAGGAATTCCTTCCTGATCCCTGCAAGGATTCGCTTGCACGGCGATGCCTGGGAACCGCGCACCCGCCCCGAGCGACCAGGGCCAGGCCTCCAGGCTGCTCTCCGGGCAGGGGAGCAGGCTGCAAGGGGGACGCACGGTAAGGAGCACCCACCTCCATGGGGGGGTTCAAGCTCTACGGATCTCAGCACCCGGCTGCTTCTGCCCCAGACAACGAGGGACGGGCCTGCATCACAGGATCAAGGGCAGGGCAAGAGCCTGCACGGGGCATCGGGAGGGAAGTCTCCCCCAGGCCAGGCTGGGATTGTGCTCAGCACCCTTGTAACCCTGCACCCATCTAGTCACCGACCCTAGGGTAGACACGCTTGGGTTGGCACCACTTGTTGGACTGAGTTTTGTAACCGAGCCACTGGCCTGAGATGGGGGGGCCAGGGGGTGTGCCCAGCCCTGCATCTCCACTGCTCTGTGCCTCGGTTTTTCTGTCTGGGAAGTGGGACTAAAGATCGTGACACGCTGGGGGAGGGCGTGAAACAACTAGAGCCGCTGCACAGGAAAGGAGCAAAGCCTCTGACAAAGAGCTTTGCGATGGGACCTGCAGCTTCTCCTGTGGGGCAGGGTCCACCTCCCCCTTCCCTCGCGACACCATGCCTTGCGCGGCACCCTCTGTGCAGCCTAATCCCGCGGAGGTGGATGTGATGATTATCAATAGCAATTATTAGCGGACCCCGAGTTGGAAGGTGGAGACGTAGAAACCTGCTGGCTGGTTCGCTTCACTGACCCCAGACGGCGGGGAGGGTAACAGGGTTTCCTGCCATTTCCGTCACATTAATGGAAATACCTGTTACGTCCCTTGTTTCCTGCCAGGGCTCAGGAGAGCGGAGCGGTGACATCCCCCATGGGCGAGCAGAAGCCAGACAAATGGTGAGGAAGCAGGGCAGGGTGCCAGGACTCCTGCGTTGCCTTCCCAGCTCCACTGCTTCACGCCGCGTGGTCTTGGGAACATCACTTGGCTGCTCTGTGCCTCAGTATCTCCACCTGTGAAATGGGACCAAGAATCAGGTCCGGGTGGCCCTGAGGCTCACCTCCCAGCCCCCCTGCAAAGCATTCAGGGGGAAAAAACCCACTGCCTCCAGCAAGTCTCCTCCCTCCCAGCCTGGGGCAACCACTGCCGCCAGCAAGTCTCCTCCCTCCCAGCCTGGGGCTTCAGATACTCCCAAACCCATGGCAGGCTTCCTACGTGCAAGCCCCAAGCCCAGACGCCTTGGGGTTCAGATGCGCCTTAGTCTCGTTTCCAAAAGAGCAAGCTAGAGGGAGAGCCCAAAAGCAGTTCCCTATCACCATAAATCGTGTAGCCGAGATCCTCCCATTTGGAGGCATTTGCAGACTCTGGCAGGGGTCAGCCCAAAGCGCAAGGGTTGGGCTTTCACCCCTGGAGAGCCCCCCGCTCTGCATCACGCCTGGCTTCCCCTCTCTTCTTTCCCTTCAGAGGCAGGAGAGACTTCACTTCACCCGTTGCATGGGAGCAAGAAAGGAGGCACATCTTTCGCAGGCAATGGCTGCACAAGGCCTTCAGTCAAGCCCAGGTGATTTGCTGGCACGGAGAGTCAGGACTGCTGGGAAATGTGGGCAAGTCACTCCCTTGCCCTGTGCCTCAGTTTCCCCATCCAGCAAAACAACACACCTCCCTCCCCAGAGGATGACAGCAGGCAACGGATCATGGCAGAGGTGGTGGTGTGAGATCGCCATCCATACGCTCCAGAGACGGAGCACAAGGCCTCACGAGTTCCTAGTACTGTTATTTTCCCTGGAAAGGATTGTGAAAATTTGGGCTTCGGGGAATTGGCTTGACTGGCTGCATCTGTGACAGCCTGGAGGACAATGAAGCCCTCTCTCAACTCCAGAAGGGCAGCACCTCTGGAGCCGAGAGCGCGCCGCGGCTCATGGGACGTTCAAAGCAGGGCTCAGGGCAGTGGCCTGGAGCAAACCGGCGCTGGAGCCGGGGAGCGGGCAGGACCCACAACGTGCAGGGCTCCCCAGCACAGCAAGTTACGTGGGCCTGAAGTCAGGCATCCGAGGGTGGCACCGAGCAGCTGCGTCCCAGCAGCCCACGACCGCTCGGGACAGGAAGGGATGAGGCATCCTGTATTCCCTTGAAAGTGCCTCAGGGAATATTACCACGGCTGGAAGCAGGCCAGGGTACGCTGGAAGCTGGGCCGGAGGCTGGGGGGAGCAGGGAGTTTCCAGAGCGCGGGGGAAGCAAACCCGTGTCGCAAATCCAGACCCCTGACATTTGGGGAGGAAGACCTGGGAAGAAAGGGGGTTCGTTAACCCTTTCTCCTAGGAGTCAGCCACCCCATGCTGGGGAAAGTCCCAGCCCCCCAAAACAGATCCCGATACACGTGGGACCAATGTGGACCCCTCCAAGAGACTGGGTCTCCGCCACCCACCTGCAGCCAGAGGATCAAAGACCTCACTAAGCTATTTAATGTTTGCAGAACTCCCAAACCCCCCCAAAAGAGATCCCGATACACATGGGACCCAGGCTGAACCCCGTGTGGACCCCTCTAGGAGCCTGGGTCTCTGCCGCCCACCTGCAGCCGGATCAAAGAGCTCACTGAGCTATTTAATGTTTGCAAGTCCTTTTGACTGGAGCACCAGCGAGAGAGAGGGTCTCTGGAAAACAGGAAAACAAGCAAGACCAAGCTCCATTAGCAGCCCCCTCCCCCCAGAGCAGGAATCTGCCCCAGATTGGTTTCAAGGGTAATTGATGGCCCAGGGAGCAGGGCTGTAAAGCGTTAGGAGGAGGCTGCCTTCGCGCTGTCTCTGGGCTTGTTTGCGGAGTGGACTTGGAAATGGAAAAGCGGGGAGGGGAGGGGAGGGAGGGGGAAGGAGCAGGGACTGGAGCTCAGACAGCCTGGCGCCAGCAAACACCTGCAAACAGCTAACAGGAACACAATGGCAAACACAGGTGGGGGAGTGTTGTCATCTCAAACCTCTCCCCTCTGTTAATCACAGCTGATTGCATCAGTTTCCAGGCCCTGCCAAGACCCGCCAGCAGCAGCAGGCGCAGGCCCTGCGCAGCCGGCTGGGGTTGTTCTCCGTGTCAGGATCTTGCTAATTTAAAGCAACTTTGCATTAAATATTTTTTTTCCCCCTGCAACACAAAGGGGAGTTAAAAACCAGGTGGGGGAAGGCTTCAGAGTAAGAGTCTCCCGCCTGCCAGCCCCGCTTCGCTGTAAGAGCCAGCCCCCATCACCCCGGGAGAGGGGGCAGGCCTAGGGGAGTGGGGAGCCCCAGAGCCGGAGCTGCCCCTGGGGTTTCTTTGCAAAGCAGGAGCTGCTCCGCACCAGTCGCGCCGCTTCCGCGGGAGAGGAGAAGCATGGCCAGGGGTGTCCCGTGGGGGCAGGCCCCCCGGCTTCGCGTCACGAGCCCGCGTCCCAGGGGCGCACGCGTGGCGGAGGATGCGGGGATTCCAGCCAGCGGCTTTCCCAGCGTCCCCGCCAGGGAGAAGCAACAGCATCACCGAGCAGAGGCCGTCACAGCGCTGCAACTGCCTGGAAAGAGTTCTCCCGATTCCGGGAACCCGCCTGGAACAGCTTGCATGGGGGAGGCGACCGCAGCCCCGGCCTTGCCCTGGGAGAGTTTTACAGGCCTAGATCACTCGGTTGCCTTCAGCTCCGTCCTTCCAAGGGCACGGCCTAGCGGGGTCCACAGGGGACAACGTCCCCCATCCCCACCTTCTTGCCACCAGAGGAACGGGCTTTGATCAAGGTGCTAAAGACTCCTGTCGCTGTAGTGGGACCTGTGCGATGCAGCCTCGCATTCACCCCTCCGGCCGTCAGTCGCACAACACCTTGCAGTACAGGCCGGGGTGGTTGCTTTGCCTGTCCCAGCATTGCAGCCACCTCTGGGGTGCGTCAGGCAGCTGTTTCAGCTGCCCAGCACAGCAGTTCGGGTTAGGAAGTGCAGGGGCACGTTGCATGCGCTCACATACCCGAGCTGGGATTTGGTCCAGCTGCGGTGTCTATCACCCCTGCTCTCGGTGCATGATGTGAAGTGGCTGTTCAGGGTGCAGGCCTCGTCTGAAGGACGGGCTCCTCCTGCCACCGTGCTGAAGCCCTTGGCCCTGCAGTGCTTCAGAGGGAAGAGCACTGCCTGTGGTCCCCTTGTTCTGCACCCGAGCGGGGACCCAGCCCAGCTGAGCTTCGGTGATCGGACAAGCTCCCCGCTGGAGGGGGCACCCCTAGGATGGCCAGGGACAGTCATCCTGCTCTTTTCCATTCAAAGGAAAGAAGTGCAACAGATGTTTCCCACCCCACCGTCTGCACGGAGGGAGCATCTGCAGGTATTTGTGCAGCGTGGGACATAGCTCCCAAGGCTAATAATGATCAACCCCCCTGGTCGAGACCTCATTTCTAAGCAGGGTTGAATTCCCAAGCCAAGCAGCACGGGGGCCTTTCATCCGGGTATCTCCAAGTGCTTAGCACGCATGCGGGAAGGGAGAGCTGATGTCACCCCAAGCCCCAAACTCCTTCTTGGTTGTCCCCCAGCAAGCAGAGAAGAGGCCCGGGGGTCCTTGGCCTTTTGGGGCTCTGTGCTTCAGGGAGGACTGGAGCTCTGCTGAGCGTCCGTGTGCATCTCCCTGCATCTGATGCCCTGCCTTGGTCCCCTTTGCTGAGAGACTCTTTTGCAGAGGAGGAAACTGAGGCACGGAGAGAAGTTGGGGTGTGGGAGCAACTAGTCCAAAGCCAGCAGCAAGGCTAGGAATACAACCCAGGTCTCATGACCCCCCCCAAAACTCATCCTTCACTGAGCCATAGGCAGTCTGGCAAGATGCAGCCCAAAAAGTCCGGCCTCCTGGCATCCCTCCGCTCCCCTCCCCACCCTACCCCTCCGCTGCTGCACCCCTGCAGAGGGAGGAGAAACTTCCCAGGTTTAGGGGTGGTCAAGTCCCCAGGGCCTTTCTGACCCGTCTCTTCCATGCTGGTCCCCTGGACGCTGCAGCCGCAAAGCCTGGCGGTGAACACTGGGCCGATAACAAGGCAGGGTCCCTGGCCTTGGCGTGGTTTGCAGCGTAACTAGAGGAGAGGGAACTTCAGCTGCTCATGAGTATGCATGAGGGCAGGGAGCGTCCTGTCCTGGCTGGGCCTGGGGTTACGGGTTAGCGAGCGGTTCCCGTCTCGCACCCAGATCTGGTTTCCTTCTGTGCTAAGTGCAGGAAAGAACAAGCCGTGCTCAGGCCGCGACGGGCAGATGCTGGGATACAGGCAAGGTGCGGAGGGCACCTGTACCACCCAGCTCGGACCAGGACACACGGACACTGAATCGCGCCGAGCTCCTCTCACGAGGCTGGGGCTGCCCCATAGACGGTGCCGAAAGCAGCCCCAAGCTGCGCCTGGCTTCGTCCCAGCACGTTCCAGGAGAAGATCAAAACTCTCCGGGCAGGCGGGCAGGGCTGGATTTCCAGGCACCCTTCACCCCCCTTCACGTCAGCAATGCTCAGAGACTGCAGGGCCTTCATGAGGCATGTGGGAACGACGCTGTTGATGGGGAAACTGAGGCACAGAAAGGAGAAGCAACTAAACTGAGGTTGCACAGAGCACCGCAGAGGGAAAGATCTCAGCTCCTTCCTCCAGCTGTGCACCAGACATGGGAGCCAGGGCTGCTCGTCCCCCATGCTCCCCGCTCTGGTCCTTGCTGCTGACTAAACCCTACAACATCCCCCGGGGCCAGGAATCCCAGGCTATGCCCTTGCCGTGCCCAGCCACGGGCCTGGGCTTGTAAGCAAGTGACTCGTGCAGTTTTTACGACCTGCCCTGTATTGCCCGAGTGAGAAACTAGATGGACTGGTTAGGAAGGCGCCGACAGGAGTCGGCTGGATCCAGCCTCAGCACCGTTGCTAGGACACTGCTGGAGACTGATGGGGAGAAATTCATTTCAAATGATTGCTGTGGTCAGGACAGCTTGATCGCAGCTGCTTTGCCGCGTTGTCATTACATGCCAGACAGTAGCACTGCAAGGGCCTGGTGGAGATCAAAGTCCCGTTGTAGTGGGCACAGAGCGAGAGACAAGCCCCGCTGCGACCGGCTTCCAGCCTAGATACCATGGGCTCCGACAGCTCCGGGGCAGGACGGCTTGGGACAAGGCCGTGTCCCCCTTTTTGTCCAATTTATTTATTTATTTTGCAAAAATCTAGTTGGTCTAATAAAAGATATCACCTCTACCATGAGTTCTGCTTGCATCTTGTCCACAGCATCCAGCCCTGGGGAGGAAGGGGCTTCCCTGGCTATGCTTTGCCAAGCAGGCAGAAGAATGCCCCCCGTTTGCCGTCTGCCTCGCTGCAAAGCCATCAGGAGCCGCCTGTTTGCTCACATCCCAGTCCCAGCCGTGGACAGAAGTGAGCCCAATCCTCTGTCTGTCTGTGTTCCCAGGGCCTCCACCATCATCATCCTTGAGGGCATCCAAGGGCCTGCACGAGGCTGTTTTTCTCACCATCGCTTCCCTCCAAAGGCACCAGAGCAGCAGGAGCCAGTAACTTGAATCAGACTGAAGATAAAAGGGACGGTTGTCAAAATAATAACCCTAGCGCCTTCCAGCCCAAGAGCTTCACAAACCAGGCCGAATTCCCCCTCCCAGTCCCCGGCATGCTGGGGTCAGGGCGACAGCCTGCATTTTGCAGAAGGGCGCTGGGAGATAAAGGAAAAAGCGCTTGCCCTGAGGTCAGACAGCGGGCTCGGTATCTGAGTATCTCAGTTCCGCCTGCCTGAAACCCGTGAGAGCTGGAAAGCAGACAACTCTGGTAGTGGCCTAACTCCTAGCACCTGCTTGGAAAAATTTGCCCCGCATGACTCATCCAAGGTTACAGTCCAGGTTGGGGGCAGAGGCTGGCCTGCAATCCAGGATTCCCGTCATCAGCCACGAATGCTAACACAATAACCTAGCATGAGAAGCGCTGGGCTTCGAATACCTCCACTGTGACCTTGATGTCACCTTGACATCTGGCTCATACACACAGGGATCTGTGTCTAACCCCTTCCAGCTCCACCCACCATCCTTCCCCCACATAGCTCGAGCTGATAGCAAGGAAGGTGTGGGAGGGGAAGCCAGAAAGACAAGCGAGATGGAGCCCGTGGGATGAGGTACGTGTCTGTGCCAGCGCTGTCAGAAGAGCGCGTATCCTCCCATCATCTTCCCCAAACCCAGGGGAAACCGGTTCGTGCAGAGCAAGGGGTTACCTTGGACCTACCGCCACGGGTCTCGCGTGACCCCTGAGCAACAGGATGGA